GGGACACTGATCTGAAGAGGTCTCCAGAACTGTGTCCTGGTGGCCAGCGCCAGGACAGACTTGTTGATCTCCATGTCTGTGCTCTTCCTGTTGGCTTTCCCACAAACAGCACTTAAGACATTAGACAGACAGACAGAGAGAGACAGACAGACACAGGAGCAGCTGCTAGAAGGCTGGAAATACTTTCTCTAGGGAGCAGTCCAAGTCTGACCAGACAACCGACAAGTCCCACAGCATCTCACTCCTAGGAGAAAAGAAGGGGCTCAGAGCCAAGGGCCCTCCAGGAGATCTAGGAACTTATTTTGGGTCAAGCTTCATCCCCAGCCACGGGCCACCCAGTGAGGTCCACAGCTGGGTGGTGTCCAGGTTCTGGGAAGTGAGGCTGTGGTGGTGGTTCACCTCACCCCGCAGGGGAACCCCCATTTCTGCCAGGTGCCTCCTGCCAAAACCCATCCAGAACACTCCTGAAGTTGAGCAAAAATGGGTTTTCCTTGACTTGTTTCCAAAAGGAAGAACGCTCACCTGTAGAAGTGTTTGAAGGGACTCTCGGGGCTTGGGCTTGTGTTGGACGATTCTGGGGAGGGTGTAGCTTAAGGTGGCAGGGTCTCTCTCTGAATAACATCGATAAGCAGGTGGGAGGCTCTGACTGTGGATCTCAGTTAATCACCTAGAAGGTGAGATGCTTGGTGGACGGTTCGAGTGCAGTGGGTGCATCACTAAGATGGGGAGACATCTGACGTTTGTGTGTCTGCTTAGACCAGATTGTGAAGGAGTAACTTTTTTTTTTTTTGGTCTCCCCTGTGGTCAGTGGTTACGTCTGACATTGGTGTCCTGGGAAATGATGTCCACCAGGACGCCCTGGCCCAGGGCCCTATGCCCGCTCCTGGCAGATGGAGGTCAAGCTGTGTGGGTAAATGGTGCTGTTCCTGAGCATCTGGGGCTGCATTTCTCTGTCTCACATAGACCAGTTTTTCAGTGTGACTGGGAGACTCCACGCAGGAGACACGTGGAAGGATGTGTGAAAATGAAGAGCACAAGAGAAATCAATAATTCTTACCCTGATGGTTTCCTTGTCTGGGAGTCACCTTCCCACAAGCCTTGGCCATTGAGAAAATAGCCAAAGACTGGAAGCAAGCAGGCCACACTTCTGAGCACGTGAAATAAAAGCCCGCCCCCCCCCCCCCATCCAATGCCCCACGTGTTTACAAGACCGCAGGGTTTTTACACAAGTCTTTCTGCTCTAACTGGTTTTGTCCTGCTGCTCACAGAAGGTTAGAAACGCAAGGGGAAGTGACAGGACCAGTCAGACGTGGGTGGGCCCTGAGGACACTGTGCTGATGAAAGAAGCCAGATACCAAGATCGTATTTCTAAGGAAATGTCCAGAAGAAACAAGTCCAGGGCAGAGGAGGGGGGACTGTAAGGGTTTCCAGGGCCGGGGGAAGGGATGGGGAGTGACAGTTGATGCGCATTTCTTCTGTGGGGTGGATGAAAATATTTGGAATTAGTGGTGAAGGTTGTGCCACTTTGAGAATATACTAAAAACCACCCCTTAAAAGGGTACATTTAGTGATAGGTGATCTATGTTTTGATTAAAAAAAAAAGTTAGAATGAAGGAGAGCCTGACTGTCTGGCAACCTGGTAATCTGATGGCAAGAGAGGGTCCAAGCACAGTAGACGTCTTTACTCAGGGAATCAGACCCATCTAGAGCTTCAAGCTCTGCCTGGAGCCTCTGCCGGCTTCGTCATCATAACCCCACAAATTCACATGGCGTCCCTGCTGGCCACGTGCAGACCTGGGTGCCAAGGGGGTAGAAAGACAACTTTAGGACACGGCCCCTGCTGCCTGGAGGGGAGGTGACCCCCACACAGCAGTGTGGGCACACCCACTGGTGACCCCATCATAGGGCAGCTGACTGCAGTTTAACATTATTTAGTTTAAGAAGGCAGAGGACTGGGTCATGGGTGATAAATTTGTTTTTAAAAAAAGTTTCTTTTGAAACCACCAACCTTTTAAAGAAATGTGGAAGCTGCCGGTGACTAGTGTCAGGGAGCTAGAAGGATAATGCATGTGGAATGACTCATTTCCCAGAGAAGCGGGGTCCTCGCTGCATTCGCGGAAAGGCGAATGTCCCCACGCAGTTCACTGACCCCAGACGGCCGGTGAGTCCTCCAGCCCACCCCCCCCCGGGGGGGGGCATCTGGGTTCTCAGGGCCGCTGCCCCAGTGGTACTAACCTGTGTTGTTTTCCTGAGAGGTTCCACGTGTGTCTCCCTGAGAGGGCAGAGGACACAGAAAGCCTGAAATGGAGGGAAAGTCTCCGGGAGATGGGGCTGAGGTTGGGGGTTGCTGGAGGCGGGACCTGATTAAATCTGACCCCCCTTTCCCTGGGCTCTCCATCCTCGGTGCTCCTCAGAGAGCGGAGAACTATGTGTACTTTCACGTGCAGGACACCCTGGAGGGGCTCACGTGGCCCCTGCTCCCCACCCCGGGACTGGTGTCTCTCTAAAGGAAGAACTGTGCACCGCTCTAAATCACAGCCTCAGTGGACAGCTGTCCGTGGTGGCTTAAGAACGGGCCTTGGGCGTGCGCGAGAGGAGAGCTGAGGCCTCTTTCGAGCCCTGGGCACGTGGGTCCTTAGCTCAGAATGTCAATTTCGGTACTCAGGCTGCTGCCAGCAACCCTAGGTTCTGACTTTGCCACAGGCTTTGGGACGCAGGGCTTTTCAAAGAAACATTTGGGAGATTTGAAAGGCACAGGTTCAGACCCACTACTGGAAATAATACATATAAAGAGAAGACCCTGCTCCCTGCCCCTTACCCTGACACTTTCTACCAGGGCCACGCTCGGTGGGATTCAGAGGCTGAACACCAGGAGATGGGGATCCATGTCTTGGGAAGACTAGAGCCAAGCTGAGGAGGAGCGGGGCGGCAGGGTGTAGGGGAGGCGGGCAGAAGGCATGACAACTTCCTCACGGATGAGCAAGTGGTGGCGACGAAGACGCCTGAGTGGGGGTGGGGGGGTTGGTGTCAGTGATGGCCCATCAGAGATTGCATGGAGGCCCGGGACTTCTCCTGGGCCCTGTCACCTGCTGGGCTCTGGGCAGGAGTCGGGGGGCAGGATGCAGTGAAAGGCAGCCAGTGTGGAGACCCACCCTTGTCCCCAGCCCTCCTCCTCCGTCCCCTCCCATGACCCCCTCAGGTTTGAGCAGCCAAGGGTGTCTGTCGGTCAGACCCTGTCAGGTGCACAGAGGGAGTGTTCCCTTCAGTAATGGGGATGTATTGTAAGGATATCTCTGGAAACTGGATGGTTTCCCTTAAACACTGAGGACAGATTGGTTTCCAGGGCTTTGGAACAGGATTCTGGATCCCTAGCAGCTCCTGGCATGAGCTTCTCTCGGATCCTCTGGTGAGATGGAACTCCTGGACTGTGCCGCCCCCAACTCTATACCCGCCCAGCCCTGCTGCTTGCAATCTTGGCCACAAGAGCACCTGGCCCCGGCTCACTGGCACGCCTCTCTCTGTGTCTTTTAGCTTGTAGTCACACTCCCAGCTCCTCTGCTCTTGCCTTCTAACTTCTTGAAGAAGTTCGATTAGACCATTGTCACCATGGACACTGTCACACAAAGCCACCTCCTGTCATGGTACATGGCTGTCCTGAAGTCAGACACTCACCGCCACTCTCAGCTGTGCTTGGACGACGGAATGGTGGCAGCTGACAGTTGGGTGTCCTAGGTGGATGGAGACTGTGTTGGTGGTGGGGCCAGTGTGCGCGGGTTGTGTTGAATAAGCGAATAGCAAGTCTCCTAAGACTTGGCTTGAACTTTTGCCCCAGCAAAAAGGAAAAAAAAAATTGTGTACACATATGAAGCCAGATCAATGGGACAAAGCCCTGCCTGGGTGCTGTTTCTTGAGTCTGGTCTCCCCAAGTGAGGCTGGGAAGGGCTCCCTCATTCCCCCCAACCTTTCCTTTTTTGGGTTCTGTGAGTGAGAACAAGAAGAGGTGACCCTAAGTGTTTGTAGGGCTTTCTCTAGTTGCAGGAACTCTCAGATTTTAAGTCCTAAGGAACAGGCTGCACTCTGGCCCTGTCCACCTGACCCTCTGGCCCATCAGAACGTATTCCTTTGGATGCCAGGCTTAACGTTCGTTAGTTTCAAAGTAGTATTCGGAGCCCAGTGAGTGAGTCAGTGTTTGGCAAATGAATGAATGGATGAATGAGAGAAAGCCATTGGCACTTCAAGCAGGGGCCGACGGGGAGAGGCCGAGGCGCCTGGGCTCTGGTAGGAGCAAGGCCTTGCTTTGAGTCCTGGCTCTGCCCCTTGCAAGCTGTGTGACATCAGAACAAGTTACTTAACGTTTCAGAGCCTCCCTCTCCTCCACTGTAAGGTGAGGTTAATGTCCAGTGCTAAGTGGCTGTGGGGTTTCCCGTGAGCCGGAGGTTCTCAGCACGGGACCTGAAACCGGGCACTGGGGTTCTGAGAGCTGTAATGACCCAGGCTGGCTCCAGGGGGGCTGGCGGGTGGGGACTGCGCACACACCACGTGTGGGCACAGGGGCATGAGCCCCCTGGGGGAAGAGTCACTCACCTGTTGTGTGTGTGTGTGTGTGTGTGTGTGTGTGTGTCAGGAGGAGTGCAAAGGCCAGGGCCAGCCCCAAGTTGCTTGAATCCTCTTTACGCCCAGGGAGTGAGAGAGGGGCCCACTGGGCTCAGGGAATGTGGTCCAGTTCCGACCAGGCCTGGGTTAAACGTGTGGTGGATGGGGGGGCAGGGGAGGCACGTCCCAGCCGGGCTGTGGGGAAGAGCAGGACCCCACAGAGGGGTGACAGCCCTGGCTGGGCCAGAAATCCAAGTGGGATCCACGGAGGCTTAGAGTCAGAGACCAAGTCTGCGGTCAGTGGAGAAGGGGAGGGCAGAGTCACAAGTGAAGAGCCAGCAGGATCAGAGAACAGGGAAAAGGCCAGGGCTGCGGTGGGGGGGGGGGGGGGGCTGGCTGCCTGGGGTGTCACCTAAGAGGTTGGAGAGCACCTCCTCCTTGTCCGTCCCCAGAGTCCTCCGTCTGCCCCGCTTGATGCCAAGCAGGCTCTTGAAGTCTGAGTCTCTGAGGTGGTGCAGACGGCAGGTGGGGAGGGAAGGGTCTGGGTGGGGAAGGGGCACCAGGTGCCCAGAGAAGCTCCAGCAGGGACCCCTCGCTGACCATGGCTGCTGCTGTGAGCTCGTGCGCTGGTGGAGATGACTGTCCTCATGACGGTCCTTCTCCTCCTTCCCCCCCCCCACCCCTCTCCCCCAGCGAGGCTCCTCCATCACGGCCCAACTGCCCGGAGCCTCTCCCAGCCCACCTTCTCTTCCTTCAGTTTCCGGCCTTGGGAGCTTGAGGCCCACCCCCCTTCCAGCCTCAAGGACTTCCCAGCTGTGCTCCGTCCTCAGTGCGGCCCCGAGTGCCCCCTGCAACCTCCCATGCTGGCCCCCACCCCCAGTCACTGTCCCTAATCCTCACCTGTCTCCCTAAGCTCTTGTTTCCTGCTGACTTGCCCCTCTCCCACCCAGCCCCCTGCCACCTCGCCTTGTACGTGAAGGTAAAGTTGTGAAGCTCAGTAGCGGGAGGACCCTCTGGTCCAGCACCTTCCCTGTGGCTTGGGGTTTTATTCTGGGTTCGATGGTCTTCCCCCCACCTGAACCTTTTCCTCACCAGCCAGCCCCTCCTCCCTGTTAGCATTTTAACACACTCCTGGCTCATTCAATACAATTTACTGGCAACACTCTTTCAACCCCAGGTCCCCCTGACTCCAGGGCCCTGTCACTGCCGCTCCTGACAGTTCAATGTTCTGGAAAGTACCTGTTCCTCCTGGCATTTCCCTCCCGCCCACCCATTCATGTCACGAACCAGCTTTCAGCCGTTCAGCTGGGTGCACCCCCCTTCACCCCCGCCCCAACCTAGCCTGTTCTTGAAGCTTCTGTGCAACCACTCGGCTGACACCATTGCCGGCCTCCGACTGCAAAGCCCAGCAGACGCACCTCTGAGGCTCCCCTGAGACCTCCTCCAGCCCTGACTGGCCTGTCTCCTGGTTTTACTTCTGTCTCTTGAGCCGGTCTATCTCATCCTTCTCCTCCACGCTCCTTTTTCTCTGTTGATCCTGCTGAAAGACTGGGGTCTCCCAGAATTCTTCGCCTGCCATTTCCCAATTGTCCACTTCTCCTTGGGTTTAAATGCTGTCACGATGCTGATGACTTCCCCCACTCCCACCAACACGGGCATGGGCACCACCCCAGGGGTCTTTCCTGAGTGCCCCCTGTCAACAGGACTTCTCCTGTGAACAGGAGGGAATGCCAGGAGGAACAGGTACTTTGCAGAACAGGGCATCTCCTCCTGGCAATCCCTTCAAACTGGACTCTTCCCTCACTCCCCTGGCTTGCTCCTACTCCTCTTAGTTCATTCTCTGGGTCGATGTTGTCTCTGGTCACCCAGCTGGCCAGCTCAACCATGACCTGGGACCCAAGCCTGGCTCATCCCGCCGGGGTATCCGATCGGTGCCTCCTGCCCGTCTCCAGTGGTTCCTTCCACGCGTCACCAGGCTCGGCCGACGCTACCTTCTTACTGTCGGTGGAGTTCATCCTTCACTCTGAAGCCACTGTGTCCTCCAGACCCCCTCTGGCTTCTCTCGTGGGAGGTTCAGGGGGCCCCTGCCTCCCCACCCATGCATGCCATCTCTGTCTCGTGTACGGTCCCCTCCCGCTCATTCTCCATGCAGCTGCCAGGATGAACATCTACAGGTGCAGCTCTGCTCGTGGCAAACTGCCACTTAAAATTCTTCACAGCTTCCCCAATGCCTTCAGGATAAAGTCCAAACTCCTTAGCGGGGTGTTCAAGGCCCCCCCCGCCCCCACCATGTCCCGTGGTCTGGCGGTGCCTGGGACCAGGAGACTTGTGCTCAAATCTCAGGTGCACCTCTGCCGTGTGATTTTGAGTAAGCTACTTAACCTCTGTGAGCCTCCGTGTTCTTGTGTGTCCAGGGCGCTCGGGTGCCGCGTCTGTCTATCTCAAAGCAGGCACGCAGCCGCTGGTCCCCACCCCAGGGCCTGCGCCCTGCACTCTGCCTCTCGCCCACAGCAGTTTTTGCCCCCGGACAGCAGACGGCCTCGGCCCTAATGCTGCCGCCCTGCATCCTCCCCAGAATGTCCACGGTGCTCTCAGGAAAGCCCTGGATCCGTCCCCATCCTTTTGTTTCCACTCACCGGCCACTCTCTGCAGGCCCTGTCCCAGGCCTGCACCTTCCTCTCCACTCCTGACGGGTCTTCTCAGAGATCCCCTGTGGGAAGCACCTCCTGCGTGCACACACCTAGACTAGGGACTCTTCCCAAATGCCCCAGGGGAGTCTATCCAGGCCTTCCCCTCCCGCCTCCCTGGAGGGCTCTTGGCTGAGCCTCGTGGCAGCCCCCCAGAGGGTAGGGATCATGTCTTACTTATCTTTATATCCCTAGTATGGAGTGCAGCACCCCAGGCTGCCTGTAAACCTCTGTTGAATGAACAATTTCGACTTGGATCGTCTCAGGGTGATACTGGGATCCTGACTGTATTTATCGGTGTATGATGCTCTCATTCTTGTTTGTTTCTGCTCCTCTGGGGAGTAGGGGCCTGGGCGGCCCATCAGATTGTAACCTCCCTGAGGGCAGGCTCTCCAGTTGAGGGGTGCCCTGTGCAATGAGTACACGGCGGGGAGCCTCATCTGTATTGCTGACCGCCCGGCTTCTGAGAGGAGGGAACTGTCACGTGGGGTGGCTGGGTCCTAGTCACACTGTGTGCAGAGCAAACGCGGTGGCCGTAGTGGGTCCTGGGCTGTCCCCGAGGTACTGGTTCATGAGAGGTAGCAGTGGTGGTGGGGGCAGGGCACATTCGGGAGCAGGATGGCAGAGCCGAGGCCCGGAGGAAACACACAGTTTCCTGGGAGAGTGGTGGACATTCGCACCGGGGAATGTCAGGCAGGGACTCACTTTTTTTTTTTTGCCCAACTGGTTTGAGCTTTTGTTGTAAAGTGAGTTTTCAGGCCAGGTCAGATCATCACTGAATGTCACTTCCCATCAGCTGAACGGGTGAACTTGCCTGTGTGTAACGTGATGGATCCCTGGGGGCTTTCTTCTGCCTGAGGACCCAGGCCGAGCTGGCAGCCCTGGGCCTCAGAGGCGCCCTGGGCTCTGCAGCTTGCCACCAAACCCCCCACACCCCCCACACCCCTCCCACCCCTGAGTTGTTGCACTCCTGGGGTATTTTGCTTTGAGGAGGAGGTGGACTGCAAGAAGGATGCACAAGCCCCCCTAAACGTGGCCCTGCAGGAGCCTGCGGGCTGTCCCCTCTGGTCACTCTGGGAAGGTGGGCACCCTCCCCCCCCACCCCGGGCGCCCAGCACTGTGGTCTGGGGGGCTGATCCCGGGGGAGGGAGGTGAAGCCCGCTGCTGTGCCGGTGTCCATCTGGTGGACCCTGGCACCTCAGGGACAACTCTTGTTTGTACGCTCACTCTTTTCCCCGTTTGTGGGTGCGTGATGAACGTGGAGGGCCAGGAGCCGGAGGGCCATGAAATTTGTGCCCCTAGCTCTGAACGCCTTTTTCCATATCAGAGCTTTCATAAAGTTGGTCTTCTGAAAATCTGCTGAGAAACGGGGTTGGGCCAGGTACTCAGCCGAGCTTCAGGAGTCATGTTCAGTCTAATGAACATCTGTGCCTCTTGGTAGAGGGAAGACCTCATTTGGGTCACTGGTCCTAAGACCGATGTGAATAAAAATTCCTTTATCTGCCCTCCAGGGCGACCCCTCAGCTGGGAGTGGGTATGAGTGAGGGCAGGCGCTCCCAGCCCTCCTTGCTTAGGAGCTGGGTGTCTGGGCATGAGGGATGCCACGGATCTGGGGACAAGCCCTCCTCCACATGCAGTGATAGAAACGAGCCGGTTGGGGAGGGTGGAGAGGGAAACAGGCAGCCGGTCCCAGGCAGATGTCTTCTTGCAAGTCCGACTCTCGGCGTGAAGGTTCTGCTGTTGGCAGGTAACTAAACAGTGGGGTATCTAAACAGAGGAGTGCCCACATCGGGCATCTGTATTTACAGGCGCGGAGTCACTCCAAGAAGCCCCCGGTTGGTGGCTCCCCCATACGCAGGCACACGGGAGATCTCTGTCCCTCTCCCCTCCCTTGGGCCAGGCGTCTGGCTCGTGCTGTGCAGGCAGGTCAGAAAAAGAGTCCCCTGCAAGACAAAAAAAAAAAGCCCTCTCTGGAGGAGTTCTGCCAGCTGGGGTCACCAGGATGCTTGCCCTAGAGTTCTGACGGCGACCTCTTGCCCCCATTCTCTTCTCTGCCTGACAGAAGGCCTGAAGCTGTTCACAGATTCTGGACACAAGCAACCGAGCATGCAGCAGGGCTGTGAATCAAACAGGGATGGGGCACTGAGTCTGTCCATTGATGGACAGTGGCGGGGGGGACGGCCCCTCAGGAACTGGGCTGGCTGGGCCCGGGGACTCAGAGAAACCAGGCAGCATTTTTAAGTATATTGGCATGCCGTGTGCATATGTGTATTGGCAGGAACTCACAGCTGTAGGGTCCGCCTAATATGTGACTGACCGTAGTCGGGACGGCATCATCCTCTGGTGGTGCTGGACATGAGGAGGAAGTAGAAGGAAGGGTATCCTGGGGGGCTGTAGCACTGCTGGGGTCCATTTACAAGGCTTCCTGGTTGTACAAAAGTTATTTAGAAAAAAAAAAATCCACTTTCTAATCTTGCTCCCGAATAATGAAAAGCAATGAGCCTGGAAATAGTTAGAGGAAGGCATCATAACTGGGCTGTGTCCATTCATTCATTCATTCATTCACTCATTCATTCATTCATTCAACTAGTACCTATGAGTACCTTTTGTGTGCCTGGCACTGGTCCAGGCATGGAAGCGGGGGGACACACAGAAGGTCAGGCTTTGCTCTCTTGGGGCTCACCTCACCGTGGGGAAACTGAAAGGCATGGCCAGGATGTGGTGGAGCCCCTCTAGCACAGGCAGGGAGGTGGCTACACTTGTTCACTTTGGTTTGGACGTGGGGTGCTGAGTTCCCAGATTTCCCTGTGTTGGATATTCTTCCGACCTCTTAAGTTTGGAAACATGTCATCTGAGCACTTTTGATGGAGATCTTTACAAGGACATCCCCTCTGCCTTAGGAAGTGTAATCCCCAGAACACAACCTCATCTCTTTTCAATGCTTTGGTCCTAATCTCCCCTTCCCTTGATTGTCCCCCAATCTATTTTTGCTCCCCTGCGGCCATACCCCACTTGGCCATTACCCTTTTGAATTTAAGACTGACTGGAGGAAGGACAGAACTGATTCTGTTCAATGAGCGAGTTGAACCTTGCGTTCAACCCGAGGGTAATGAGTTCTGGCTTGGTGGCTAGGGTGCTGCAGAGACAGGGTGATGACTGTTCTCTTACTTTTCTGAGCATTTTCCTTGCCTTAAGCCGTGTTCTGCAGACTCACAGTGGCTGGATGTAACTTCTGGCTAAAGTAGGACAAAACTCTGTAAGATACAGTGTCAAAGTGAGTGACATGGTGTATAATACTTTGGGAGTTTACAGAAAAAAAAAAAAAAAAGAAGACATTCCCCAGGGGCTGGCAAGTCCCAGGAAAGGTTTTATGGAACAAAAAGTTAGCTAGGCCTTGAGGACGGGGACTACGGGCTTGGTGAGTTGAGGGGAGGCAGCCCCTTTATCAAGAAGAAGGAGTAGGCTGAACACTGTGATGGAGTCAGAGGGTCTTTGTGATCTGCACACATAACTCTTCATGAGGTTCTATGTGGTGTCATGTCTTCCACCCACAGCCCAGGCAGGGATTTATTATGCAGATTCTAGGCCCCTCTGTGCTCCATAGGCACCCATGGGTGCCTTTGCTGGCTGTGGGTGCTGCCCAGATTGTGGGCCTGAATCACAGGACAGAGACTTGTGCCCCAGCTATGACTCTGATGACTCAAAATGGGACAGCATCATGAAGCTTGCATGTGTCTGTCAAAGGCAGAGGAGGAAGAGGGCTGGTTTCATCCCCTCTTTGCTCTGTCAAAGGCCCATCCCTTTCTCTGGAACCCAACTTGCCCTAATATTTCAGAAGGATGGCAAAGTTGCACTTGAAATCAGGAGCCACCAATGGGTATGAGCTCATGTGGGTATATGTTATTAGCAAAAAAGCATGAAGGTCTTTTTTCAATTTATAAAATCCCTGGGAAATCTAGAATAGGGAAAAGGGGAAAAAAAGCCTTGCAACTGGGCTTAAGACCCTTCTGTGTGATGCCCAGTTGTGTATTCACTTAGAGTAAGGTGAAAAGTGTCTTGAAATCAGTCACTTTAATGAGTCAACTATTTTTCAAGTGGAGGAAGATGTTAAACTTGGAGGCATTAGGATCCATTCATTCATCCAACCACTCTTTACTGAGAGCATAGCATGTTTGGTTCAAGGTGAGGGATTCGCAACAGTGGCCACCTCACCCTTCCATCCCAAGGTCCCAGAGATGACAGAATAGAATGAATACTTATATAAAATTACATGAAAGAACATAAAACAGTGCCATAAATTTAAAAAGCGGTGTCCTTGGTACAGAAGAAACTGAGGACTCCCCCAAGGATGGAGAACACTCAAGATCAGACTGATGAGGGAAGCCACAACTCCAATGTCCCTGCAGAAGAATCACTAAAAGATGCGTCCTGGGTCCAGAAGTGGAGGATAATGGGGTGGAGGGAGGTGGGAGTACATGACAGGGTGAGGAGCTGAGGTCACCAGGAAGCTCAGGTAGGCAACTGAATCCCTTCACACCTCCACATCCGGCCTCTTCAGGGCAGGCAGTGGGCAGTGGAGACTGCTTGGGTACTTGGGTGAGAGAGCAGTGCTCCAGGGTGGCTGACACAAGCCCAGGAGGAAGATTCCACTTCTCCCCTCCCTGCTCACTCACTCCGCCAACAGCAGGCACTTCCCCTTCACTTAGGTTGGAAAGGCTGCAGCCAAAGCTACCCTGTAGCACATCCCACTTCCCACTGCCGACCTGACTTTGCAGTACAGAGAGGGGCATGCCCCCAGGATTCACCAAAAAGTTGTAGAAAACCAACTGTGAGAAAGATGTACTGATGGTAGAAAGCCAAAGTTCACACCGAAGCAGGTGCTAACAGTGCAAGCAGAATGAGACTTTTCTGGAGCCTTTGGAATAATAAGTACCATTATCAGATCTGTAAAATGAACAGCAGGAGACCTTGGAAACGGAAGCTGTGCACAAGGACACATAAGAATCAACAGATGGGCTGGACCGGCAATGTGGATGAGAGTGAAGAGTGACTGGTGAACTGGAGGGGTTCTCTGCAGCATGTGGTCTAGAGGACCATGAGATGGAGATACGGATGGAAGCACTTGAGAGAGAGGTGGATAACACAGTCTGTCCAGAAGAAGTTTCTGAGGGATGGAAAGGATGAGACACAATAAGGAAGCTTACCAGGAGACAGAGAAGAAACCATTGAAGACCAAATTGCAAGATGAAACAGAATGACCAAGTGCCAAGAAGGGGGAGTGACAAACACCTGCAGCTAGATATAGCACAACAATGAAGTTAGAGGAAAACTACTTAAAAAAGAAACAGAAACAAAAACTTCCCAGGGAGAGAGGGAAAAGATGATCTAAAGTGGAAGAAGGATGAGAGGGGCAACAGACTTCTCATTGGCTACACTAGATGCAGAAAGGCAGTGGAACCACATACAGGAACACTTCTGGGGTAGGGAAGACTGCAAGCCAGGAAACTGTCCCCAGTAACACTCTCCTTCGTGTGTGCAGGGGAAAGAGTGACTCTGGACGTTTAGGTCTCAAAGTGTTCACCATCCTCTCTCTAAAAAAAAAAGTCAGAAAAAGGCAGAGGAAAAGTGGAAATGGAGAACCTCCTTTTTTTTGCTGACTACCCACACTTCTGTCTCAGAAAGAGACAGTCACTTTGCTCCTGGTTGGAGAAGAGCAGACTGAGCATCTCCCCAGGCCAGCTGGCTGGACAGAAGCGACTGTCAACAGCTCTAGAAGGTCTCAGCCTCCCCTTGTGTGGTCACCATGGTAAAGTGTGCAACGGGGCCTGACACTGGCCATCTCCTCTCAGCCCTCATCCTAGGATTTGCTTTTTTTCTCTGAAGCCTAAAGAGGCCTGGCTACCTAGCTGGGATGGCCACCATCCTGTGGAGTGTTTGCTTCTCTTTATTCTCAAATTCATCCCATAGGCGTTAAAGAAGGGATGAGGCTGGGAGAGGCTCTCTCCCCCGGACTGATGCTCAGGGCAGTAGTAGACACACTTGTGCAACCTTTGCATACTGGAAGCTGTGCCATGACAGCCTTAGATTGCTCAGAACATTAGGTGTATGCCTGACTGAGCAGAGGGTCATGGCCTGGACCTCTGGGAACTCTGCCTAGTGGCCTGGCAATTTGAGAGTCTGCCAGCCCTGCTGGAGGAAGGAGAGCAATCCATTCGGAAGAAGCCCTGATGGCCTTGGGAAGGAATGAAGGAAGGAAATAAAAATTGCTGTCACAGGCTACAGGTACCTGAAGTCCAGGCAAAGACCCAAGGTGCTGCTCTAGGACACTGGGCGGGTGAGAGAGGAGGCTTACAGGGCTGCCCCGGCGTCCCAGCTGTCTGAGCTGGCAGAGCCGGTCCTGGCTGGGAATGGTCTGGATCCCCTGGCAGGCCTCTCCACCCACCAAGGAGGGTTTGGAAGCTCTTTAAAATTTCATATGCTATTAAAGTCATCTCCCTCACTCCAGTTTCTCTCCTCTGTAGAATCATGTCTGAGAAAACCATGCCAGGCTCATGTTCTCTGCAGGAGTCTGCGCCTCCCTGGTGGCTGCTGTCCGTGGCCCTGGCTGGTTCCCTGGGGGCCAGAGCTGGCCCTGAGCCTCCTTTACCCTCGTGGGCCTTGGCCTGGGTTCTGCCTGGTTCTCCAGGTGGGGCTGAATTTGGGAACCGGCTGTGCCCAGTCGGCTATCTTCGGAAGGGCACCAGGGATTCGGCCCTTGCTCTTATTATAATCCTAGAATGTGGGATCTAGTGGGGGACCTTGAGACCCTTTATCCAGCCCCCTTGGCTCTAGTATGTTTTTTTTAGATAACTGCCTTCTTTTCTTTAAAAAAAAAACAAAACTGAAGATGCAGGTCCTTTTGCATCTCTTGAAAAGGCTTTCCTGCGCTTTGCTTGCTGTTGGCCAAGAGAGGTTACATTGCTATGTGCAGCCCCACTGGGCTCAGAGGAAGGGCCGGCCTGAGGACTCTCCCCACTCCTGAGGAGCACTGGGCACCGATGGCCGTGTTCCATCTTGGCCCTGGAACGAGGAGGCCCCTTGGTTCTTGACACTGCCGTGTACATTACATGTTTTTACACGTCACCTGTTAGTGGCTAATTTGACTCTCCCGATTTTGTTATTCACGCTTTAGGCTCTATCCACTCATTTAAAGGCATCTGAGCACAAGTGGATGATGCAGTGGAAGTGGGAGCAGAGAGTAAACAGGGGGAGATAGGAGAGAAACAGGAAGTCATTTGTGGCTGCCTTGCGAATAGATGCCCAAGAGTTTGAGTCCATGGGTGCCTAGGGCTGGCACGCGCCTCGAGTGGGTGCAGAGAAAGCGGAACACTGGCTGGCATGAAAGTGAAAGTTGCCCAGTTGTGTCTGACTCTTTGCGACCCCATGAACTAAACAGTCCGTGGAATTCTCTAGGCCAGAATACTGGAGTGGGTAGCCGGTCCCTTCTCCAGGGGATCTTCCCAACCCAGGGATCCAACCCAGGTCACCTGCATTGCAGGCGGATTCTTTACCAACTGAGCTATGAGGTATATTTCTTCATAAATTCCCAGCTAGAGGGACACCCCTCCCCTAACTCTGCAAGCTGCACTTGGATGGAGTGTTTGAGAGCAGATGATTCCTCCCAGGAGAACATGAGTATTTGACATCCTTGGGGGCAGGAGGTGGCATCTACAGCTTTCTCTCTTTTTCGTTTCTTTGAATAGAAAAGCCACTTTGAAGATGAGTAGGGCTGGGTGTTGGTGTAGCCCATGCGCCTAAGCCCTTGGAAGAAGCCAAGGCTCCCCAGCACTTTTTGTTCTTTTCCTCATTTGCCATGCTGGGGGACAGCATCTCGCCTCTGGACACCACTGTGGGCTTTCCAATGACAGAATGGAGAGTTGACAGTGACCTCCTGGCTCAGCTGGTCCCAACTCAACAGAGGAAGAGTAATGACAGGGAGCATCACAAACTCCAAGGGCAGGGACAGACCCTAGCCATCCGCTCTCCACAGTTTCCCTCTATCTGATACCTCCCTCTCCAGGGTCCTGAGCAGTCTGTGACCCAGCTGGAGTTAGAATTTGAGCCTCTTGATTGAGTGCTCTTCTCCGCTCCCCCACCCTCCCAGTGGTCTGTGCTTTCTCTGCAGCCTGTAAGCCGGGGCACAATCCACCCACAGGCAGGAGAGTGAAACAGGATCTTAAAGAGTGCAGGGTGAGCTTACACCCCAGAAAGACGCTCCCCCTAGCAGGTAGCTGATGCTTGACCTTCCACCATTAGAGATTCATTCCTTTGTCACTTGGAAGTGAGGCTGGCCCACAACTCTGGAAAGGCCCCACCCATGGCTGATAGCTAGCAACCTGCTTGGGCTATTCCTGCAGGAGAGTTGGTATCTGATGGTGGTGGGGGTGGAGGAGAAGCCAGGACAGAGAGATCTGAAACTTGCTGAAGCAGGAGGATGGCTTCCCAGGTGGCGCTAGCGGTAAAGAACCTGCCTGCCAAAGCGGGAGACATGAGAGACGCGGGTTCGATCCCTGGGTTGGGAAGATCCCCTGGAGGAGGGCATGGCAACCCACTCCAGTATTCTTGCCTGGGAAATCCCACGGACAGAGGAGCGTGGCAGCCTACAGTCCATGGGGTCGCACAGAGTCAGACGAGACTGAGCGTGCACGAAGACTCAGAAGGACCGGGAGCTGGGGCTGTCGTGAGGAGAGGTCCTCCTTGTTGCAGACGTTCCTAACAGGCTACCACCCATCTGCCCAGCACACACAGGACAGACATGACTAGAGCTTCATCTGCATGGACTGAGCTGCGTGGTGTGTTGGTCCCCGGATGAGGGAACAAGTGCTTGAGCTGTTGTTTTGTGACCGGAAGGCAGTGGAGGGGCCTCGGAGGCCGAGGGGATGGCGTGCTTGCCACCCTGACTCCGGGCTTTGTGTTCCTGCAGACACAGAGTGGGAGGATTCCGGCCAGAAACAGAAAGGGCCGGTTCCCCAGGAGGCTCAGAGGGACTCCGAGCCTGAGGAGGGGGCTGGGGCCTTGTCAGGTTTTGCCCGCAGCTTCTGCACGGCATCCAGAACTGCGAGGTAGACAGGGAGACGACAGCCCTGCACGGCCATCAGCCTCCGTCCAAGGGACACGGTCGACGTGGGCACGGGCGAGGCTCCCGGAAGCAAGTCCAAGGTTACCGGATGCTGACGAAGGGGAGCAGAGACGAAGAAGGAGACTCCATGTGAGTGCCTACGGGGTGGTCCTGCACGGTCTCCTGGAAACTCATAGGAGGGGCTTTGGTGGGGGAGGGGGTAGTGAGGGGTCTTCTGTCACGTGACGTTTTAAAAAGCAGAGCTCTGGGCTGTCGTTGCTTAGTTGGGACATGGGTGGAGTTGGCCTGGTTATAACTGGAGTTTCTCTATACCGTCTGAACCCTGCCTGAGATGTTGCTTGAAAAACAGCCTCTGATTCTGGGACCTGGCATAGAGCCCGTGGCCCTGCTTGGAGAAAGTGCCGGAGCTCCTGGGTACAGCCTGCTCTTCCCCTCCATGTCTAGGCCATGATTCTACAGGACTGGAATTTGTCCCAAACTCAGTCTGGGAAAGGGCGGAGTTTTCAGGGAGGGACCTCATTATCCAACCTGGAGGAGGAAGGGGGCATCCTAACCCACCTTGTCTTATGAACTTTGAGGGTAAAATGAGGCTGAAGGAGGAAGATGTGTGCTCAGAGGCTCTGGGCTGGAAACCATGACCTGAATGAACCTCCTGGGGCTTAGATTATGGGCCAGCAGGGAAAGGTACAGACAGAGATTTGTTTTAAAAAGAAAAGGTTGTCTCTGCAGGCTGGAGAAAAGTCAGAGCAGATAAGCAGAGTTGTTCTGCTGTCGTTGTCCCCTGCGCCCCACCTCCTCCTCCGTAGGCCTGCCAGCCTGCCGGCTCTCTCCTTCCTGCCTGTGATTAATCCCATGCTGGTGCAGGACACATCCACTAAGTCCCCAGGCCGTGGAGTGGCACATCTGGCCCCTTGCATAAGCTGAGTATTCCAGAAGTTAAAAGGGCAAGGTCCTCCACGCCTGCAAATATGGCATGCGACCCAGGGTGACACCACTCAGAGCAGGTGCTAAGCAGATGTGACAGGAGCTGCAGCAGGAATACGGCTTGATAGGTGCCGTTTAGACGGAGGGGCCCTGTCACGAGCCATTTGCCTGGTTGACGGATGCTGCAACCTCGGGGGGGGGGGGGGGGGATGGGCTGTGCTCTTCACCCCAAGAGTTGAACAGAACCGGAGATGCAGGTTTGGCAGAGTGAAGTCAGCCACTTCCAGCCGCATGCACACCATTGCGCCCGTTTACTGAGCTCTGCAGGGAGCCTGGCTCTGGGTCAGGCACGTTGCAACAAGCCGGCCTGCCTCTTTTGTTTTTTTAATTGAAGTATAGTTGATTTAAAATGTTGTGTTAATTTCAGCTGTGCAACACAGTGACTCATATATATATATATTTCTATTCTTTACATTATGTTTTATTCTTTATATTTTTGTTCTTTTCCATTATGGTTTACCATATTGAATACAGTTCCCTGTGCTATACACAGTAGGACCTTGTTGCTTATCCACCCTCTGTATAATAGCTTGCATCTGCTAACCCCAACCTCCAGCTCCATCCCTCCTCTCCTTCTCCCTGTTGGCAACCACAGGTCTGTTTTCTCTCTGTCTATGATTCTGTTTCGGTTTCATAGATATGTTCATTGTGTCATATTTTAGATTCCACATATAAGTAATATCATATGGTATTTGTCTTTCTCTTTCTGACTTAACTTCACATAGTATGATAATCTCTAGGTCCATCCACATTGTTGCAAGTGGCATTATTTCATTCTTTTTTATGGCTGAGTAGTATTCCACTGCATCTATGTTCCACATCGTCTTTACCCATTCCTCTGTCAATGGACACTTAAGTTACTTCCATGTCTTGGGTATTGTGAACAGTGTCATGAACATAGGGGTGCATGTATCTTTTTGAGTTACAATTTTGCCTGGGTATATGCCCAGGAGGAGTGGGATTGCCAGATCATATGAAAACTCTTATAGTTTTTTGAGGAACCTCCATCTGTTCTCCATAGTGGCTGCAACAACTTATATTTCTACCAACACTATAGGAGGGTTCCCTCTTCCCCACACCTTCTCCAGCATTTGTTATTTGTAGACATTTTAATGACGGCTGTCCTAACCGGTATCAGGTGATATTTCATTAAGTAGTTTTTTTGCATTTCTCTAGTAACTAGTGATGTGGAGCATCTTTTCATGCACCCACTTGGCCCACCTCTTTTTGCAAATGGGGATCTTGGGGCTCAGAGAAATAGAGTGATGTGCCCAGAGTCACAGCGGAAAGTATCAGAATCTGGATTTAAAACTGGGTCTGTGCTCCTTTTGCTGGTGGATTTGGGGAGACGGGGGCTTTGTTTAGTCCCCCGTTTGGAGTGTGACTTGAGAAAGCTCTGAAACCTTCCTGAGCCATCCCTCCCTGATGCACAAAACAGGGGTATAACGCGGCTCACCTCTGGGGTCAGTGTGGACACATCGCCTGGCCTGGAGCAGGCACTTGGCCTGCAGTCCCTGCTCTGGGGTCAGTGTGGGCTCAGCGCTTGGCCTGGAGCAGGCACTTGGCCTCCAGTCACTGCTCTGGGGTCAGTGTGGACTCGGCGCCTGGCCTGGAGCAAGCATTTGGCCTGCAGTCACTGCTCTGAGGTCACCGTGCTCCTTCCCTTCCCTCCAGGCCCTGGAGAGAGGCTGCACAAGCTCCGGAGAGGCCCTGAACCCTGCCAGGGCTGGTCCAGCCCAGGAGAGGGAAGCTCCGCCTTCTGAAAGCCATAGCTGCATTTGAATTAAACAGATACCTGGATGGTCTATGAAGCTGAAGCCACTCTTTTCTTGTGTGATTTTTAAACATCACCCAAGCTTTATGCAGTTCTTCCCATAGAATAACCCTGGGAGGTGTGTAATGATGACAACTGATTTTTGTTTTCCTGCAGGAGAATCAGCTCCAGGGGGACTGCTTCTGATGGGATGAAGTCTCTGGCTGGCCTTGCCAGCACCCCAGCAGGCTGTTGTCTGGACTATCACCCAGGGCAGACACTGAGTACTTGGGACAAGACATTAATTTGAATATATTTTGAAGCCAAGAATCATGAGACATGTAGAAGTTCTATCTGCATGTACCTGGATACATACATGAGTCAGAGAAGTGGTTTGAGGATCATCTGCTGCTGCGAATGATTCATGTGTCAAAAAAGATCACTTGAGACCTGAGGAGGTGTAACTGACCACAACCCTGCAGCCTGGGCTGTCAAGCTCGCTGGTTCCCCCACAGACCTCTGCCCGCTGGTAAGCATCTCGAACAAGTGATGACTATTTATAATGATTGTCTGCTAACTGACTTTGAGGCTGCTAAAGCCAAGGAGCACTGTTTTAAAAAATGGAGTGCCCTTTGACCTCCTAGCCCAGTGCTGGAGTGACCATTGCAATGAGCATTAGCTGCAGGCCTTCTTTGTAAATGTCTGACTGGCTAGGACTGGATTTTCCATTTGATCCCTCGGACACGTGGGGACGTCTCACTTTTCAGCCTTTGTTCTGGCAGTCAGAGTTGAGTTTTGGTCTGAGACGTGACCAGTCTTTGTTGTCATTTGGGTGCAATTGGATTCATAATTCATATCGTGCATAAAAGGACAAAGCAGAAAGGGGACATGGGGCTTATCTCATGTGAAACCCTTTTTTTAAAGAAGAAGAAGAAAGGGGCTCGGAGAGGGAAAGTGGCTTCTTCAAGCCACCTCGCCATTGACTGACAAAGGTGGGACCAGAGCCCATATCTGCTGACCCCTGCAGTGACCCTCTTCCCCCACATCACTCTGTTTCCTTCTTATTTGGACAGACATGATCTTCTATGAAGATGCTGGGAAGGAAACCCACTTTTACTAGAACACTATTTCCTAGGAGTTGTCTTAGATGGTTGGTCTACCTTGGCTCATTTTATTCTCACAGTGTATCTGCCAGAGAGCCGTCCCCATGAAGCCACTGTTACAGGAATGAGAGGTTAACCCGCTGGTCTGTAAGACCACAAAGCCCAGGCCCTTTCTCCCAGGCTCTGGCCAAAGGTCTCTCCTTCCTTTCTCTTCTTCCTCTCTCAGCCTCTCACACACTCTGAAGCAGGCTCTAATGGCCTAAGGTGGGAGGTTTTAGGCGGTATAAGGTTTCCTTGGGTTACAGGTGAGTCATGAGTGGACTGCATCTTACCAGCAAGTCTGGACACAACAGATATTTCAAAGGGACCAAGCAAGACTCTTTTGGGAAGTAAGGATGGGGTTTTGCAGGTGGTGGTTTTCTATCATGTCCCCTGGACAAGAAGCAGGGGCATATAGCCTCCAAGCCAGGTTCTCTGGGCACAACTTTCCAGAAGAAGCAGGAAATGAGACGTGCCCTAAGACACAGGCCTGAGTGTCCCCTGTGCACATTGTACCCAGGTGACAGGTAGTTGATGCCATTTTTTTGTCTTTATTATTTTTCAGACCGTAGAACCTCTTGGTAGCATCCAATCCATGTTTGGCTGCCTAGACCTGGAATCAACCTGGTTTCCTCTCAGGAAAAGCGCCCCACGCCTCAGCTAGTCTCGTGAACACTCTGCCAGGCTGTCGAGCTCTTGGTGTAGGAATGCTTTTAAAACAAGGACTGTGACTTTTATTTCATGGATCCTCCCCCTCAAGTATCCAATCCAGGGCTTTTAATGCAGTAAGTAAATATTTTTGTACTTAACATTGGAATAGTGGAGGGGAAGGAAGACTGGATTTTCACCTTCCAAGGGTTCAGGTTACACCCCAAGGAATCACATTTTTGAAAGGATCTGGCAACACACATTAAAATGCTGCCACTTTTGAGAAACTATCCTATGGAAATGAAATGCCTGTTCATAGGGGTGTATGTAAAAGACCATTTATTGCAAAATCGCTTAGAGTGACAAGAAATATCAGAGTGACTTAAAAATCCATCAGTAGGGTGCTGGTTGACAAAAGCATGGTTTATCCACATAGTGAGACATTTTGCATATTTTAAAAATAATAACTTCGATTTACATGTAATAACCTGGAAAGGAGTCTCTAAGGTAATAATATAGTGTTTAACAAAGAGATCAAGTTGCTGAGTGATGTATGTTATTCCACTTCTATACAACACAGTGATGGTCCCTGACTTGGCAGAGTTTTGGTTTATGATTTTACAACCTAACCATGGTACGAAAGCCATGCGTGTTCAACAGGAACCCAAGGTTGAATTTCAATCTTTTCCTGGCCTAGGGACATGCACTCCAATAGAGTCTTGTGATGCTGGGCTGTGGCAGTGACCACATCTCCTGGTTGGCCCTGCAATTGTGGTAAACAACTGATGCACTTAGAACCATTCTGTACTCAGATATCCATTCTGTTTTTCTGCTTTCAGTATATTACATGTGGGGAGGTGGGGTGTTACCAAATGGACTTTGTGTGAGATGATCTTGCCCAGCTCTAGGCTGATGTAAGTGTTCTGAGCACGTTTAAGGCAGGCGGGGCTAACTGCCTGTGATGTTCAGGAGGGTAAGTGCATTTTCGACTCATGATATTTTCCATCTGGGATGGGTTCATCAGGAGGCAATCCCCACTGTAAGTCAAGGAAGATCTGTTCATACATTTGCATGAGAAACAAAGGCAGGATATACAGAAACATGCTAGTATCACCATAGAGGGATAACATTTAAAATTTTAAAAAATCTAGTAGAGTTTATATTAAAGAGAAAAATGCTTTAGGAAGGGAAGAGATAGATGGGGGCAGTTAACTGGTCCAGAAAAAAAACAGGTGGGACCAATCCCAGCTTTCTTTGCCACCTCAGCTCACTGTGCACCTCCAGGCAGGACCACCCCTAAAACTCAAAATGAGCCCTGCACTGGGGCAGGTCACAGAAATATCCCAAGAAATATCAGTACTTGATGTTTTTGGGAGGGGGGCAAGGCTGCAAAACTTCCCATCCATAAAAGTTTTGGAAGCACACAGGAACTTTAGTATCTAGATAAAGAATGTATCCCCAGCCTTACCTGAATGGAAGCTACTATGCTTCTAGTCCAGGCCCTAAAGCCTCCAGGGTCTCCTGTCTATATCAGTGGTTAGTTCTTACAGGGCCTCCCTGACAATAAGCCTTTGGTTACAGCTGTATTGAACCTGTAAGAACCAATCCATATGACCTCTGATAGTACCTCTGAATCCATAACCATCTCCTCCTGAGAGACAGGTCGTCAGGGTAGGGCTGTGTCTTTTCATCTTCTGGCAGAACACCCGGCACAGTGCGTGGTTTAGCGTAGCTGCTATAGAAGGGCTAATGGAAGAAAACGTGTGCTGAGTTCTGGCACCAGATAGATGGAATTGACTTCTAGGTGGCTTTGGGGGACCCAGGAGAGATTTTCCAGAAGAAGGTGAACCTTTATGAAAGACTTGAGAAAGAGGAAAGGAATGGAGTGTATAGCTTCCACCAAGAAGAAGAAGCTGATTTTTGTTGTGACAGCATTTTAGAAAGACTATTTTAGTGTCTCTAAGGGCTCTGCTACTGTATTCCTCTTATGCTTCCTCCGGAGAAGTTTGGGTTCCATCGTAGTCCACTGAGAAAGTGTGTGGGTGTCTTTTGAGTCCTTCTCACCTTGGGAGGGCTTCCCTGAGAGCTCAGTTGGTGAAGAATCTGCCTGCAATGCAGGAGACCCCAGTTAGATTCCTGGGTTGGGAAGATGCACTGGAGAAGGGATAGGCTGCCCACTCCAGTATTCTTGGGCTTCCCTTGTGACTCAGCTGGTAAAGAATCCACATGCAATGAGGGAGACCTAGGTTTGATCCCGGGGTGGGGAAGATCCCCTGGAGAAGGGAAAGGCTATCCACTCTGGTATTCTGGCATGCAGAATTCCATGGACTGTATAGTCCATGGGGTCACAAAGAATCAGACACGGCTGAGTGACTTTCACTTTTCACCTTGGGAGAAAGGTAGGTAATAATAGCCTGGGGTTTAGCTTCTTAGGGGCTTTAAACACCCAGGAGTAAGCTCTAAAGAACTACCAAGAAAATGCCTCCCAAGTATAGTTAGAATAAATAGTCAAGTCAAACAGGATCATATCCAGCACAAGACCACAATGAATTGATTTAATCAGACATTATCAGAGCAAAGGAGAAATAACATTCCGGTTTTAATTGCAAGGGAAAATAAAAAAGGGAAGAAACTCAAATTACCTTGCAGGCATTGGTGGCACTCTTCAAGTTGTTTGGGGGAACATAGTTTAAGAAATAATTTGGATTGGGGAGAATTAGGACTGTGGAGGCTTTCGTGCAGGAGGACTCCCCAGGTGAGGGGCTGTGTGAAGGCTCAGCCAGGTAGCTGGCTGCTGCCGCCTTGGCTTGGCTCCCACCTCCCAGAAGACACTTAAGAACACTGCTGGGTTTGCTGCTGGGAGGTGGTGATGGATAACGACTGTGGCCTGATTCTTGAGGCGCCATGGATTCACTGCAGCGTGTCTCAGCCATATGTGAGCCCTGGCCACGTGTGAGTTCCCCCGAGGAGGAGGAGTGGCGGGGGGAGGGGGAGCCATGTGACGCATCTTATACATCCCCTCTTATTGCAGCAACCACATTTGAACAAGCTGGCATCTGGGTTTCCCTAAACAGTATGTGTGCAGGCCAGAGAAACTGCACCCTGAGCCCAGGTGCTGGGTTTTGGGAGGCAGCAGAGGAAGGGTTGGCTTGCTTCTGAAGAACATCTACTACACACAGTCTTCATCCTACGGGGGTGGGGCTTGGAGGAGACGATGATGGGATGGATGGAACATCAGAGGCATTGCTCAGCCTTCCAGGGATTGCGGCTCTGCTCCTACATCTATGCCAAATAATGAGTCCAACCGAACCCTTCTAGTGACAGGCGATTTGGCTTTTCTGTGGCATCTCATAAAGAAGGATTGTTGTTGTTCAGTTGCTAAGTCATGGCTGTCTCTTTATGACCCTATGAACTGCAGCATGCCAGGCCTCCCTGTCCCCCACTATCTCCCAGAGATATAACTACCTCAACCCATCTATCTGGGGTGGCCCTGCATGGCCCGGCTCATAGCTTCATTGAGTTATGCAAGCCCCTTTGCCATGACAAGGCAGTGATCTATGAAGGGGTAAGGCAGGATAACTTGTCCAATTACAGCATAGTCCTGCCCAAGGGTCTTGCGAAAACCTCTGCATACTCAGCCAACCCACAGCACAGCTTTACTCTCTCAAGGACCTCTGTTAGGGATGGACTTTTGATAATGTGGGGCTTCTTACAGCTTTGGATGGGTCTTCTCTGGGACTTAGGGATTTTTCCTAAAATGGGTCTTTTCATCTCTAAATAGCCAACTGTCCTCAAACACGACTACCTGTTAGACTCATCTGGGGACTTAAAAAAAAAGATCCAGGTACTAGTTTCTTCCTCACTTAGTCCTACTTTCTGGGGGTAGAACCAGAGCATGGTGTTTCTAAAACTCTCTGGATGATTCTCAGCAAGGTTGGGACCCACTCCCCTGTCCCTGGAACCCCGGGTGACCTCCGGAAGATCATGCTGGTATCCTGGATTTGCAAGCCCACTCCACCACGTGGGCAGTTCTCTGTGTTTTTGTGTCATCTGTTATTGGTGTGGAGACAGCGACAATATATCAACTTCACAGAGAGTTGTCGAAAGAACTTCATGAGGTCTGGGAGAGTCTCCAGCACGTGATAAGGGCTTGATTGAGTCAAACTCAGAGCCCCCCAGCTCAGGGTCTTGGAAATGTGAGTGTAGTGTGCATGTTCTTACCATGAGCCAGGCATGTTCTAAGCATTTTACTTGTACTATTCAATCCATTTTGTTGCATTGAAGACCTGGTGTAAGAAAAATGACAACAGCAAAATTAGTCTTAGAGATCTCTTTACCACGTGGGATTTACTGTACAGACCACACATTTAACTCACACCCTGAAGAGCTCCCCTATACCCCTGGTCATAGGCCTGCTTGCCTCCCACCAGAGTCCTTTCCAAAGAAAGCTCTTCTACAAAAGTTCTGTATATTTAAAAACATCCAAGGTGATTAAGGGCTTCCCAGTTGTCTCAGTGATAAAGAATCTGCAGGAGATGCAGGTTTGATCCCTGGGTTGAGAAGATCCCCTGGAAGAGGAAATGGCAACCCATTCAGTATTCTTGCCTGGGAAATTCCAAGGACAGAATCTTTGGAGTTGCAAAGAGTCAGATACAACTTAGCGACTGAACACATGCACGTGCATCCAAGGTGATTAAGACCACCTCAATGGTCATTCCAGTGTCTTTGCCTATTGCTAAAGCCAAGTGCCTACTCATGAGCTTGGTATAAAAGTGCTGCCCAGTAAGTGCTTGGTGGAATGACTACATTAATCCTGCAAAGGAGTATGCTGACATACTTGTGCAAAAGATATGAAGAAATACCAAAATCCTTGTGAACAGTGGGGATGGTGAGAGAAATGGTACCACAAAATGCCTACTGTGTATTGGGCACTTTAAATACATTATGACTTTTCACAACTCAAGGAGATGTGTTCAGGTCATATTTTGCTGTGTAGCAATTTACCCCCAAACTTAGTCTTTTAAAGTAGCGATTAATGAGGTGGGAGCATAGAAGGGGCCACTGCTCTCTGCTCCAAGGTGGCTCCGCAGAGGACAGGAGCATCCACTTTCAGACCACCCAGTCTGGTCCTCCAGGCACTCTGGAGCCACCCTGGTGGCCTTGGCAACTGAGGCACCACCCCAGGCTGGCTCGGGGTTGGGTACGTTGGACTAGGACACTCTTTGCCATGAGAATACAGCTCTCCCATCTCAGCCTCTCTGCTCCCCATTCTGAGGGGAGCTGTGCCTGGGGAGAAGCCAAGCGAGAGATTTCAACAGAGAACGGAGGAAACACACCCACTGAGGTTCTCATAGCAACATAATCACGCACAGGCAGTAGCCTATTTTGGTGGGAGCTTGTCTGAAGCTCTCTCCCCGCCCCGGTTAGTCACAGAATGGATTCCCTGCACAGGCTGCAGCAGTGCGGGGTGGCATGGGGTGGGGTGAGGGGAGAGTGCTGGACTGGAAGCCAGGGGCTGCGGAGCTCATCTCAGAATCTCCGCCAGCGAACTGAAGGATCACAGGGTCCTTGAAGAAGTGGGAAGATCCTTTCTGGTTTCCGTTTATCTTACAAGTGCTGAGCCTCTCCCAGCGGAAGATCATATGTCTCAAGATCTTCTGTCTCTGAGAAAGATCCTTAGAGAAAACAGGGTTCCAGAGGGTAAAGGTCATTCTTTAAAATTCAGCTCGTTTACCCCACCCCACCCCCAATCTTTGGCACATTGGCAGGATGTGAAAGGGGAGGAGAATGACCAGGTGTCACCAAAGACTCTGGTCACTCATCCAGGCCTGTGGTCTGAGAAAGAATAGGGTTAAGGAGGTTAAGGTCATTCGTTTAAATTTACTCCTTAAGTAAACACACACACACACACACACAAAATCACCAGGAACTCAAACGTCTTGCTCCCTCTCCATCCTCTCCCTCCTGCACTTACTGCAAGGCATCCTCTTTCCCCCCCAGGACCAGGTGATGGAAACCTTAGTTTCTGGCCCATTTCTTCAATGGATGCTGGGGTTAGTTGAGGACAATCAGTCTCACGCCTCCCAGCTGTCAAAGGTGATGCTAAAAAAACACCCGGGCATGCATGCAGGACTGCTCTCCCTGGGCCAGCATGGGGGTGAAGTGCAGAGCACCAGGAGGACCAAGGAGCCCCTTTTGGATCCCTGCCCTTGACTTGTGAAGTGAAAGCTTTAAAAGTGCAGCTGTCTTTGAAGGAGTCAGCCCCAAGTTGGCCTGTTGGAATGGGAGACACAGAATGCCCCCCACCCGCCCCCCCCAGCCCGGCTCTGTTTCCCACCAGCCTGACAGATGGCCACTAAGAGAAAAAGAAGCTCTCAAAGTGAAGACAGGAATGCATTGTATAAAAATTCACACCCCCTGCTACCGCCCAAACTCCCTTAAAAAAGGATCAAGAGAATCCTAATGGGTACGTGACATCCTCCTTCTCTCCCATAAAAGGGACTTCAAAATCTGGTGATGCTGGGGGAGGGGTGAGGAGGGAGAAGAGAGATGTGTGGGCAGGGGACTGCCAGGGAAGACTGGGGTTGGGGGAGGGGGAGGTCGGCTGCAGGTCACCCACTTGACTTCCTCCCACCCTCTTTTCCAAGCCACTTCTGGCTGAACCTTCGCCCCACCTTCCCAGCGAGGCTGGGGGCCCCAAGCCCTAGGAGAGGCAGAGTGGGAGAAAAAAAGGATGGTGATGCCACACTTGGCCCTAGAGTTGAAGGAGTTAAGGACCCTCCCTCATCCAGACAGCCACCCCTTTGCTCCCCAAACCCCAAACGCCAAGGAAGCATCCAGGAATTGGCAGCGGAGCAGGAGAGGGGGTGGGATGGGGCGGGGTGGGGGCGAGGTGACCGTGGCCCAGCCTTGCCCAGCACCGGTCCTGGNCGCTCTCTCTTTCTCCCATCACTGTGCCACCAAACCCTCGCTGGCTCTTATGGGCATGAAACATTCCTCCCGCTGCTTGCTCCTAAGGAGGAAGATGGCGGAGAACGCGGCCGAGAGCACCGAGGTAAGGAGGCCAGAGGCCGGCCCGGCCACCCCGCGGCCGCCGGGCCACCCCGGGGCCGCCCAGACCCCCGCGCGCGCTGCGCCGCTCCCGGTGCCAAACTTTCTCAGCTCCATCCCGCTTGCTCCAGCCGGCCGCTTGCGCGTCTGTGTGTGTGTGCGTGGTGTGTGTGTGTGCTGGGTGGGGGAAAGACGGTGCCTGTCTCTGGACCCCTCCCTCTTGAAAAATGCAAAAGAGTCGCTCTTACCCCATCTCCCTCTCCTGTCACCCGCTGCTCGCTCGCGCCCGCCCCCACCCCCCAACCCCGAGTCCCAAGCCCTGGGCGGCCGCGCTCCCCTGCCCTCTCCTCTGGGTTCCGTTAGGGCTCCAGAGTGGCGGACCGTGCCGAGCCGGGATGGACGACCCAGGGGCCAGGTCGTTTCCCTGCAGGGCCTGGACCGTCCCTCTGGGCCGTCACCCTTCAAGCTCGCGCTTTTGGTCCCCGCGGTACCGCGGAGAGCTTTGGGCCTCGGGGGTGCCGAGCCGCGCCGGGGTGGGGCAGGGGCACCGCCGACAGACCCTGGCGCCCAGACCCGGGCGGGGGAGAGGTCCGCAACCCGGGACCTATGAGCCACCTCGGGGGGCTCTAACCCGGGGAGGGAGCTCGGGCCGCCGCCACCTTCAGGACCGCGGACAGCGCCCGCGCCTGCCGCAGCCGAGCCCGCGCGCGCGGTGGGGGCTGCGCGCCGCGCCGCAGCAGCTTGGAGGAGGAGGTCGTGGGAGCTCCGCAAATTGCGCTCTGGCCCCCCGCCTCCGGCAGCCCGGCAGCTGCCCTTTCTCGACTCTCGAGTTGGCTCGGAGCCGCCAAGAGCCCAGCGTCCCGAGACCGACCACAGGCTGGGTTTCCTGTCCTCGCTCTGACTCTGCTGTCATGACCCCCGGCTCAGCCCGTAGGCTCCGGGCACCTGTAGTCAGGCAGGGGATCCGCGTGGGCAGCCCCCTTACCTTCCTGGAGGAACGGTGCGACGGGGCGGGGGCGGAGTGGGGTGTGTGTGTGTGTGTGCGAAGATCATCCCTTACTCGGTGGCAGGAAAAAGACAGAGAACAAACTCCCGGGCTCTATTAATAGCCGGGTGTCTGGTGGGGCTGCCGTGCCTTTCACAGATGGTTGCCCATATGCAGCGTGGGGCGGGGACGGAGGTGTGGCGCGCGGGGATTGTCCCTCCGTCCGTAGGATGCCCAAAGCTGCAGAGACCCTTCCCAACCGTCTTCCCTCCAGGTCTGAACTGCAGCTAACCCTCTACCCCACCGCGGAGGCAGCAAAGCTTTTATAAACCCTCGTTCTCCGAGAAACTAGAAGCAGCACGCATCCTGTCGATTTCGAAACAAAAAATGTTCCGGGGGAGAGCAGTGGGGCGTCCAGGAGCTACTGTGTCTCCTTGAGTTAGGGCGAAGCCAGCGCGTGCGGGGCCCCTCCCTGTCCCCCACCGGCGAGCGGGCATTTAGGATGCTGTGTAGCGCGAGACGCAGAGAGCTCGCCTGTACTGAACCCCTCGCCCTCCTCGCTGCGATCGCCCACCCGCAGAAGTGGTTTCTAAAAATAGCTCCGAGTCAAGGCCGCACTTCTGTAATCCGTTGGCCCAGCGGGCACGTAGCAGTCCCTGCAGCCATGTGGCTGGAGCGCGGGCAGCAAGGAACAGCTTTTCACGGCCCACCGCCAAAAAAAAAAAAAAAAAAAAGTTTTCACGGGTCTCTGGCCCCCGCATTCTTCTTGATGCCCGCGGGGTGCGGGCACAGACCCCGGCCAGCGTCCGCAGTGAGCTCGTTGTTGTGAGCTCCCCACCTCGGCCAAGGTTCAAGGCGTCCGGAGCAGGCAGAGAGCCGCGTGTGCGCGCGCCAGGCTATTTTTACTTGCTTCCCCCGCAGCTCCAACGCTCCCCCTTCTCGGCGGTTGCACATGCCAGCTCTGCTCAAGGCATCAATGAAAACAGCAGTAGAGGCGGCCGAGCTCCTGGGGGGGGAGGGGGGAACGGGGACACAACAACCCACGTCGCACGCATGGCACACAGGGGGAGGGGCAGATCCAGCTGGGGCTCCCGGGGCGGGGAGTGAGTCTGGGGTTCAGTTCCTCGCAGCTTCCTGGAGAAAGGGAGGAATTCAGACTTGGGCCAACGTGCCCCGGTGGAGGCATCCAGGCAGCGTGACAATCGCTTGGTTTTCTTCCAGGAACTGCCTGTTTTTGGAATGAGCCAGGACTAGAGCAGTACTTCCAAAAGTGGGGTGCTGTGGGTTTGCCTGCATTTATGGTGAGAGAGAGGCAAGGATGCCTCGGGGTGTATGTGTGTGTGTCTATGGTGGTAGCGCTCCTTGTTCTCAATTCAGCATATCTTTATCAAATACTGACTCTGTGCCAGGAATAATTAGGTTCCCGAGACCCAAAGATAAAGACACTAGGCCGCTGCCCTCAAGGAATTCAGTTTGGTGGACAAGAGTGCCGGCTGATCCAGATCATTCGGTAGCACCTTTTCCTGACTTTTGTTGGTGTGGTTTGCAAGCACTTTATCTCCTTTTATCCTCACCATAATCCTGTGAGATGAGAGAAGGTTAGAATTCATTGTTTAGTCCCATTTTACAGATGAGGATGCTGAGGCAGAGAGGTCCAGCAAGTTCTAAATGTTACCTGACCAGCTCGGACAGCCCTGGAGCAGACTGCCCCTACTTCTGACACGTTGCCCTTTGCCCTATACTACTACCTCAATTCTTTTTTTGACTGCATCATGCAGCATATGGATCTTAGTTCCCCAACCAGGGATCGAAACCCCCCCCCCACACACACACACACACAATGGAAGTGTAGAGTCTTAACCACTGGACTACCAGGGAAGTCCCTACATGGCTACTTCTAAAACAATGTCATGTGTGGATGGGAGCAGGCAAGAGGACGGGGAGAGAGGATGTTTGGGAAGGAAGAGATGCTGTGTTGGGACAGGCAAGGAGGACAGGGAGCAAGTAATCACTCACAAGGTAAAGGTAGGGAGACATATTCTAATTGCTATGCAGGAAGGAGAGCGGGGAATAAAACTATCTGTGAGCAGAGCCTCCCTTGACCAGACAGGTTTGGAGCTGGGGCCGAGGGCATTCTGGGTGCAGCTTGCGGGGCGGGGGTGGGGGGTGCATAGCCAACCTTGTTGCCACTTTCTCCAGCTCCCTCCCTCAGGGGCACTTCTCCTCCTCAGCTGAGGGCATCAACCCCCAGGCATCCCCTCCTGGCAGCCTCTTCTCCCTCTCCCCTGCTCCACACGTGCCTTCAGAACCTCCTAGAGTGTCCATCAGAGTCTCTTTTTCAGCTCACCGTGCTTGCGAGGCCGCCATCCTCACTCAGGCAACAGGCACTTTCCCGTTGTCCTCTTCTCTAGTCCAGCCTCGTCATCACTGTTGAATGGGCTTTCAGAAGCACAGATCTGCTCAAGAGTAGACATCGTTGTCAAAACTTACCATGTCGCCCTGTTCCCTTTAGGACACAGGATAAAGCTTGATGTCCTTAACCCTTCCGTATCTGCCCCATGCAGTTCTCTGCAAACACCAACTTCATGCCTGAATGCCTTTGCACATCCTGGTTCCTCTACCTGGGCTGCTCTTTCCCCATCTTTCTCTCTGGGGGTGGCAGGGGGAATCTTCCTCAACCTGCAGGACTCAATACAAAGGTCACTTCCTCTGTGCAGCCTTCCATTTAAACGGATTTAAATAACTCTTCCATGTATCCTGCATCCCTATGGAGATGGAGTGTTCCTCTCCTTCTTCTGTGCTCCTAATACCTATCTCTCACTTTCCTTCTTACAAGATAATTGCATTTTTATATATTTGTTTCTCCAGTTGGATTGGAGAAGGAAATGGCAACCCACTCCAGTACTCTTGCCTGGAAAAATCCCATGGACGGAGGAGCGTGGTAGGCTACAGTCCATGGGGTCGCAAAGAGTCGGACATGACTGGGCGACATCACTTCCAGTTGGATAAAGAACTTTCGGGGTGTGGGGAGCAGGTCTACCCTGTTCTGACACTGGGCCTGACGCAGAGTAAATTAAAATCATTGACGAATGTTGACTGATTCATAGGATTATGAACAAATTCGTGAGCCTTCTGGGTCTTAATCATTTTCTGCAAACTGGGCCTCCTATCTCCCACTTTTGTGCTTAGGTTCTTGTGGACTTGGAAAACACAAAATGAGAGGCGATTCTGGGAATTAAGGCGCTGCAAAGCTCCGAGCCAGGGTACATTTTGGTTACCCGTGTTCCTACTTAATAGTTGGTAATGACTGACTCTTCCTATGGGGTGTTCGTCTGAATAGCAAATAAATGGATTAATCACAATGCCCAATTAGGAGCCGTGGGCGATGGTGGACGCTTTGGAGCTGCAGCTTGCTTTACCAGTTCTCAGCGAAACCTGATGCATTATTTATGGTGCCGACTGCCCCAACTGGGGTTTCAGCACCTCAAAGGGAAGCCTTGATGGGTGTGAAAACAGTTTTAGCAAAGGAGTCATTTTGGAGACTGGTTTTTGAATGTCATCTTGACTTACTGGTCCAAGGAGAGAGAGAATATTTATGGGTTGGGGCACTGGGGTTGGGGTGCCGATGGGTGCTGCTCCTGTGAGTTATGGGGAGACTGGGGCTGAATTCTGATGTGGGGCCAGTTGGTGGTTTTGGCTGATGGATCCCTCTTCTCAGGGTTTCTCGCTTAAGTGTGTGGTCCTATAGCACAAAAGTGAGAGGAGGAGGAGGAGGAAGAGGACAAGAGTTGGCAGGACCCAAGTCCACTTCTCTGGGATCCACACTGTGTCTCTTTCTAACTAGCGTGGGGCTCTGGAGCCAGACTGCCTGGCTTTTACTCTTAACTCAGTAGATGTGTTGTTATGATGAACAAGGCGCCCCTAACCTCTCTGGGCCTCGTAAAGCTGTTGCAATGATTGAATGAATTAATTCATGCAAAGGGTTTAGAGCCTCGTGAGCTCCAGAGGCCTTCACAATC